GAGGAACTTCAAGATGGTAAGGAGCTGGAGTAGTGGGGGAAGGAGAGGGGAAGAGGAGGATGAAGAAGATGACATGGCAAGGTTGTGTGTAAATATGTGAGGAGGAGGAAGGAAGAACATGGCAAGGAGCAAGAGGAGGCATGGAGGAACGCGGGGGGAACCTGGGGGGGAAGGAACAGGGGAAGGCGAGTGGTGGGGGATTCGGGGAAGAAGAACCTCGGGGGGAAGAAGGTGGGGTCGAATATGGGATGAAACGCGGGACGGAAAGGAGGGAGAAGGCGTGGACGCGGATGGGATGGAACGCGGGACGGAAGGGAGGGAGAAGGCGCGGGGAATGTGCGAAGGAGGAGAAGATGGCAGAAAGAAGAAGATCACAAGTAGGAGAAGGAAAGGGGAGGGAGGAGTAAGATGGTAAGGAGCTGGACTAGTAGCCGAAGGAGAGGGAAAGAGGAGGAGTAAGAAGATAACATGGCAACGTTGTGTGTGTATGTGTGAGGAGGAGAAAGGAAGAACATGGCAAGGAGGAAGACGAGGCATGGAGGAGCCGGAGGATACAGGCAAAACATTCCTCCTAGAAAACGATTAAATAAAACATATCACGCAGGTTACAAACATAGTCCTCAATCCCTACATCCACGCAAGGAAGAGAGGAGTAAGAAGATAACATGGCAAGGTCGTGTGTGTATGTGTGAGGAGGAAGGAAGAACATGGCAAGGAGGAAGACGAGGCATGGAGGAGCTGGAGGATACAGGCAAAACATTCCTCCTAGAAAACGATTAAATAAAACATATCTGGCAGGTTACAAACACAGTCCTCAATCCCTACATCCACGCAAGGAAGAGGACCTTTTTGCTATCGTTCTTGCCTGGGCTCAAGATTCTAGGGCTCTATCTGTAACCTTGGCTGAGGAGGAGGGCGATGCAAAGAAGATGGATGATATAGGCCTACATTAGCCTTTGCAAATGACACGAACGAAACAAGTCAGCCAGGTTACAAATACAGTCCCACATCCCTAGTTCCAGGTAAGCAACAAGAAGAAATGAGAAAGACACGTTCTTCAAGTGTTTCTGTTCTTAGACAGAAATTCCACCTTGAGCACTACATGTTTTTTCCCCCTGACCACTACAAGTTCTTCTCAGACCTTTAAAAAACTGTATTTTTCATTTCGCTGCCATTGTTATTTGAATCTGAACTATAGGGCTATATCTTTAACTTTGGTTGTGGAGCAAGAACATGGAAAGATGGGTAAGGATACAGGCCTACATCTTTCTATAAAAATGACAGAATTACAAGAAATCTGGCAACTTATTAATAGAACCATAAATCTGTCCTGCTTCGGTCCTGGAAGGAGTGTATTTCTTATTTATTTGTAATCCAAGTTTATAGCACTATACTTTTAAAAATAGCAGTTTAAGATTTCGAAAAACATGCAAATCATAAGAGTTATTCTTACAGCAAAATTATCAAAGATAATTTTTTTTTTCTCTCTCTCTCTCTCTCTCTCTCTCTCTCTCTCTCTCTCTCTCTCTCTCTCTCT